GACAAAGTGGTAGGAAATTAACAGTGATTGCTGTATTATGTATTGATATCTTCAAAGTGATTTCTCAGGAAAACAAATAGAGACCTGCAAGATTGATCAAACAAGTAATCATTAGCTAGGGGCTGGGGATTTAGCTCAGTGGCACAGCACCTGCCTGGCAAGTGCAAGGTCATGAGTACAATTCCTGGTACCAGAAAAAAACCAAAAAAAAAGGTAATGATTAGCTGTTCCTTTCTGTAGAGCAATAGAAGACATTAGTACAACTATGTTAGCTATCCTGTATATACATACATAAATAATTTCCCCTTCTTTCCCTGCCCTTTTCCCACACTCCAGTTGCCGTTTACTTTTGAGCATTTTCCTTTCGTTTCACAATTTGTGTCACACCTCCTAGTATTTATTCACTCTTTCAGGTCTTACACTAGTGAGACAATATGATGCTTACATATGCAGGTCTGATTTATTTCACTTATGAGTATGGTCTCTAGTTGTGACCATTTACTTATAAAAGCCTTGAGTTTATCTTTCTTTATAGCTGAGTAATATTCCATTATATAAAAATACCACAATTTTTTTATCCATTTCTCAGTGGATGGACATTTGGGTTGCTTCCAGAATTGATCAATTACAGATTGTGCTGCTGTGAACATAGGTGCACCTGTATCGCTGTGATACGATGTTTTCAGATCTGGGAAAATACGCAGAAGGGGAATAGCTGGGTTGAATGGGACCTCTAGACCCACTTTGCTGAGGAATCTCCAGACTGATTTCCACAGTGGTTTCACCAGTCTGCATTCCCACCAGCAGTGGAAAAGAGTTCTATTTCTCCATAGCCTCACCAGCATTTGTTATTGGTTGATTTCTTAATGATAGCCATTCTAACTGGGGTGAGATGAAATCTCAATGTTGTTTTAATTTGCATTTCTCGAATGACTAATGATGTTGAACATTTTCTGATGTATTTATTTGCCATTTGTATTTCTTTATCTGAGAAGTATGTGTTCATCTCAGATGCCCATTTTTGGATTGGGTCTTTGAATTTGCGGGGGCTGATGTTTTTTAATTCTTTGTATGTTCTGGATAGAAGACCTTTGTCCGAGGGACAATCAGCTAAATTTTTTTCCCAGTTTATGGGTTTTCTTTTTACTGTGCTGGTGATTTCTTTAGATGTGCAGAAACTTTTCAGTAGGAGGAGATCCCAGTTGATTCTTTGAAGTATTTCACAGGCAGTTGGGTTTTGGTTCATGAACTCTCTGCCTACCCCTATGTCTTCCAGGTTTTTACCTCCTTTCTCTTCCAATAGACTTAGTGTTTCTGTTTTAATATTGAGATCTGTAATCCATTTTGACTTGAGTTTGGTGCATGGTGATAGACTTGCATCTATTTTCAGTCTTTGGCAGGTGGCAAGCCAATTTTTCCAGCACCATTTATTAAAGAGGCTCTTGTTCTTCCAGTGAGTTTGTTGGGCCCCTTTATCAAAGATTATGTGGCTGAGTGTGTTTGTGGTTGTGTCTGTGTCTTCCAGTCTGTTCCATTGATCTTCTGGTCTGTTTTTTAGCCAGTACCATGCTGATATTATTACAATAGCTTTATAGTATAATTTCAGGTCAGGGATTATGGGTGAGAAGTATCTAGATTCTGGATAGTTTGAATATAGAGCTGAGAGAACATGAAAGATTCATTGGTTAACTGTGAGAGTTCAAGGACTCAAAAAGGACTCCAAGGGTCTGGGCTTGAACAACTGTTAAAAAATGGAGCTGCCATTTACTGACATGTAAAGGAACAAATTTAGTAGGGAAAGATCTGGAAGGTGATCAAACATACAAGTGAAATGTCACTTTGGATGTGCAAGTCCCGAGGTTCAGAAGAGAGGTCTGAAGGAAAGATACAGATTTGGGAGCTGGCAGGAAGAGGCAGTATTAAAGCTGTTGGACTGGATGAGCGCATCGAGGTAAAGTATAGGAAGAGAGGTGAGGAGCCTAGGAACTGAGTCCGGCACTCCAGCCTTGAGTCAGGAGGAAGAACCATGTAAAGGACTGAAGGAAAACCATCAAGAGGAAGGAAGATGAGAAGACCTTGATAAACAAAAAACCAAGTAAAAAGAGGAATCAAGGCAGGAGAATTGATCGACATTTCGTGCTGATAGGATTGAAGAAATGACATCTAAGGATGGGATTTTGCAACACAGAAGTCATCTGCAGCCTTCACAGAGGAGGTACCCTGAGTGGTACAGTGAGTGGTTGAGTAGGCTGCATTCAAGAGAAAATCAAGAAGGAACAACTGAGGCAGCTCCTACGAAGCATTCTCCTTCGAGGTGGTTCTTTGGTGTGTTGTTAGAAAATGTCTTGTATCATATTTCTCATAACTTGGGCCAAAAATTTTTTTTCACTCACACCCTCATGTCATCCTTCTGTGCACTACATTTGAGAACACTTGACCCATCTGTGGTGGTTAGTGTTTTCCTACCTAGGCATTCTTGGGCATAGCAAGTGCAAATGAATTAAAAATTAACTGAAGACTGTATACTGCTGCTAATTCTAGTAGCTGAAATTGACAGATGTCAGTGATTTTCATCAATCTGCTTACGTAACAGGAACTTAAGAGGCCTGACACAGAAGTAAAAGTTTTTTGTACAATTCCTGGGCCAGGGATATAGCTCAGTGGCACAGCGCCTGCCTAGTAAGCACAAGGTCCTGAGTTCTATTCCCGGTACAAGAAAGAATAATAATAATACAGTTCCTGTTTCCCAGAAAGGATGTCTAATCAGCCAAAAGGAGCTAATGCATTCCAAAAATACTGACATCTTGAAAATTTCCTCTTGTGTAATCTCTACAATTCTTTATCTTAAAAAAAAAAAAAAAATTTAGAAGTACTTGAGTTTCAAGCTAACAACTTTCAGAAATTTCTGCTAAGCATTATGCATGCCTGTTTGACCAAGTAAGGGTGTCTCAGGAACTATGAGATAAAAATCAAACTTCATTACTTCATCTGCTTTGGGGAAACTGTTGTAAGTCTGATTACTAAAATGAACACTTTTTTTCAGCTTTAATGTTTTCAACTTTGTGTACTGATAAAGGAACCCAGCCAATGAGGTTTAAACGTCTCCACCCTGCTCATACTATGAAACTAGGACTGAAAGAATCTGCTAAAGTAATTGTAATATGACTTTCCCATAACTTTTTAGGCAAGATTAAATTACCTTAGATTAGGGAAGATTTTATGTTTAAATGTCTTAAAAAGACAATTTAAACTTTCCTAAGCAATTTATTCATTGATTTTTAAAATGATCCTCTTTTTATCTACCCCCAAAATTCTAAATGTACATCAATGTACATTATTATTAATTTGATATTTTTTGATATTAATTTGATATTATTTAATATCTGTCCATTTAAGTTACATATTACAATGGTAGGTATAGCTTAGCAAGGCAGTCCTGAACCCACTTTCCTACTGAAATAGTAGTGACAGTGAGTAAATCATGTTATCACGGCATTTCTTCATCTCTGCAGTGACAAGATGATAAAACTAAGAAAAAAAGATAAAGAACTCTTGTGGGACTGCTGTGGTGTATGAGCATCCCCCAAAGTCCAGGTAGTATCGGTTGGTGCCCTGGAAAGCTCAGTGCTTTCACAGTTTCCTTTGTTCTCAAAGAATAAAAGAGAAAAAAGAGTGAAGCTGTGATTGCAGTCTCTGTAAGTCAAAAACAAACACTGGAAATTCTGAATTGTTGTAACTATATAATGAACTTAATTGAGCTTTCTAACCCCAATATTTCATTACATACCACAGAAGTTATACTCCATTACACTATCACAGAAATAATCTGTGTATTGGGTAGAATGACTTCCAATAGAACCAAGGGATCAAATGTTTCAGACATGTGTATTTTTGTTTGTTTGTTTGTTTGTTTTGTTTTTCTCCGGTACCAGGAACCGAACTCATGACCTTGTGCTTGCCAGGCAGGCGCTTTTGCCGCTGAGCTAAATCCCCAGCCCCTATGTGTATTTTTTGAAGAACTACATACTGTGCGCTAGAACAAGGCTGAGTGCTGGGAATAAACAACAAGCAAACGTAGACCCTCCCTTTAATGCCTGTAGTACCTCCTAGAGAATATGTATGTGAGGGGGTGGTCTTTAAACATACATAAAGATAAGTATAATGAACCTGTCTGCTTCCAAGAATAGAGGTATGGGCAGAGAGGTGGGAGCTTGCATATAAATTGTGATAAGTATTGTTGAAGAGAAGGTGTAACACTGCTAAGTAAGATTGGGAGGATCAGGAAAACCTTTTTGAAGAAAATGCCATTTGATCTGCCATAAGAGGAATCAGTTGATTAGGGGTAACTTCACTTGTGAAAAAAATAAGAGGTACAGACAGGAAGAACAGGTTATATGGGCCTTGACGTGTAAATATGCTCACATAGCTGGATGTTAGTGAGCGTACAGGATAGGCACAGGAGGAGGCGGTACAGGCAAGAACCAGGTAGCATGCCCTCTCGTAGCCCAAGTTAGGGTTTGTTTTGTATTTTACGCACATTGGGACGCCTCTAAACAGACTGGTATGAATGAATTTTTGATCAGTCTGAGTACTGGGCAAGGGAGCTGTGACTAGAGGGGGCAACCGAGGGTGTTTCCATAGATTTGTACTGATTGGTAGTGGGACTAGTTGGATCTGTAGTTGCTATCTTTTGTATTTAATCTTAAAATTGTATGTAGCCTATTTCTCTCTCATGAATGAAAGTTTCAGACTCTGTTGGAGGAACACTTCCATACCTCAGTTGCCGACCTTTTCTGAAATGTGCCACCCGATAGAATTAAGCATGCGTTTTAAAGACAGCTTTTCATGAAGTGTGTCGGGCTCTCCATAGTTGGTACACTGAGCAGTAGGGCAGGGAGACTGCCAGACTCTTTCAGAGATGCACAGTGCAAAAGTGGGTTTTATCTCAGAAACACTTTTTCTCCATGGTCTAAAATTGATATAAAAATACTCTCTTTTAGAATGTGAAACACAGAAAGTATGCAAGGTGGAAGGCAACATATATCCATAATTGTCTGAAAAATGGAGAAACTCCTCAAGCAGGCCCTGTGGGAATTGAGGAAGATAATGGTATGTACCTATTCAAGTAAATGATTTAGTAGAATCGTAACTTCAGTAGATTATTCAGAATTTGATCAGGTCCAAAATCCATGAAAATTAAGTACAAAATTATAAACAGAGATAGCGAGCAGTAAGACTAAATTGCTGTAGTATCTGTCCACGTCAACATAGTGGCTTGGCTGTCTCGTGTGTGTAACCAAATTTCATTTCTGCATATAAAAGGCAGTCCATTTATAATTACAGAATGTGTCCAAGCTACAAAGAACATGGTGTTAATTTTGTATATCTGTTCGATTTGTGTGGGGTTTTTTTTTTGAGAGTGTAGGTAATACACATGGTAGAAAAAATTATATAGTACATAAAAAATACAAAAGTGAACATCACCACAACTTTGATCTCCTTAGATCCTACCTAAACTCAAACAAGTAAATACTACTTTTAGTTTTTGTATATTTTCACAAAGATCATTTTTTATAAGTTCACAAGCAAATGGAAATAATTATTTCTTCTCTTTTTTCACACAATTGGTAATAGATACATGGTTTTGCACTTGGCTTTTTTTAACTGTATATATATAGAAAAATCTATAATGTTATGAAGATTGTTAGATTGTTATTAAGTATTTAAAATTGGCTATTCTAAAACATGGTTATGTTTTTGGTTTATTCCTCATGACAATAGAATTAGGTTTTTTTAGAAATTTTTTTTAATACTGTATATTACCAATCTTTATTTCTCTAATGTCTTAGAATGTTTTACGTACTTTCCCTACTTTAATACTGACCTTAATCAGGGATGTTTTACATCAGTCTAGTGCTTATTGCTTCTAGTTGTCGACAGTAAAAATTTTGGAGATTGTCAGCCTGTCAGCAAGGCACATTCCTATCTACGACCAGCATGTGTTACCTGGTTTGTTTCCTACTCCTGTCTCCTGTTGTCTTAGCGTTTGGCCTACCACAAGATTCCATAGACCGGGTGACTTCACCAGCAGCATTTATTTTTCACAGTTCTGGAGGCGTGAAAGTCCAAGTCCAAAGCAACAGGGTTTGGTTTCCGTGGAGACCACTCTTGTGCACTTGCAGATGACTGTCTACACCCTGTGTCTTCACATGGTGATAGCCACTCACACACTTCCTTTTCTTGTAAGGCTGGGGTGCTCTCAGCTTAGGACCTAGCTTTAGGAACTCCCTTTACTTTAATTACCTTCTAAAAGACAGTCTCAGTCACTTTCCTCATTGCTGGGACAAAATTCCACTCTGGACATCTGCAGTTTAAAGGAGGAGGGGTTTCTTCGGGCTCATATTTAAGAAGTCCCAGTCCTGGCAAGGTTGACGACAGGGCAGAAGGGCCTGGGCAGAGAGGAAAGCTGCTCATGTGCCGGCCCTGCGGAAGCAGAGTGAAGGGAGGAGCCTGGGAGGGTGATACCTCCTACAGGGTCACCCCCAGCCCTAGGGACCTCCTCTTCCAATCAGGTCCCGCTTCGTAACATCATCTTGAAAAGCTATAGCACCCCCATGACTCAGTCATCTTTCAGAAGTTTACCTATTAATCCGTGAGGCTTTGGGGGAACATCCAGATGTAAATCCTGAAAAGCACCCTGTCTCCAGACAGAGTCATGTTGGATTAATGAGGCTTCATAGGAACGTTGGGTGACGAGTTCAGGCCATAGCATTCTTACCTGGCTCTCAAAATTTATGCCCTTATCTCTGGCTCTTCAGATTTATGTCTTTGTCTGTCTGCCTTTGTCTCTGTCTCTCGCTGTCCCTGTGCCTCTGTCTCTGTATATTTCTCTCTGTCTGTCTCTCTCCCTCTCTACCTTCCCTCCTCCTTTACCTCCCTCCCTCCCTCTTCTGTTGTGGACACTGCCCCCTGGGACTGAGACCTCATCTTTATGTCCTCATTTAACCTTATTTGCTTCATAAAAATCATATTTGGGGCGCAGTTCATTTCCTAGCACTCATAAGAAACCTTTTATTAAAATCACAGAAGTATGATTTTACTCATACTTCAGAATGTATCATCGTCTCTTCAGTTAAAACCATTCCTCTTGTCTCAGTCATCTTTCTTTGCTTGTCTGAATCCTGATGATCTGTGGTAACCTCTTCTTTGTAAAGTTACTGTATAAAATATTACCAAATATGTGTTCAGTAAAGATACTATATTCATAGTAGCATAATCTTAGAATATTTGCTACATGTTAAGCACTGTACTAGCTGTCCTACATTAATTACCCAAATCCTCCCAACTTTGGAAAATAGTTGAACATACCTGTTTATAATTGGGGAAATGACTATTTAGAGGAGATGAGTGACTTGCCGGAACTGTCATAACTAGTTACTGTAACCACGTTTTGAACCCCAATTTTGAATTCCAGCTTGTATCTTCCTATTTTACATTTAAGCAGATGTGGTTTTTTTCCTTCAGCCAGTTTGACACTAGACAGTAAAACTTACACATACCTCTCTTCCCCACTGAGCCTTTCAAGAAACATGTCAACCAATTAGCATAAGTGTTAATTTAACCTTTCATTGAGCAGGTAGTATCAACCTCCTGAGAAAGATTTCTGTGCTTTAGAAATAGAGCCTGGATTTTTAATGATTCCTGCTTCCCAGGAAATAGCCTTGTGCTTGCATTTAAAAAATATTATATGTATACTTTTTGTTAGCCAGGTATACAGGAATGAGTAAAAGTAAGACATTGTCCCTTTCTCACAGAAACTTCTCATTTCATCAGAAGTGATGATAAGTTGATAACTATTTACAGTCCATAGTGGCAAGGGGTTGGGTCTGAGCTGTCCTGAGAGTTATTTGAAATAAATCAGGTAATAAAACAGGGAGAGGCTGGGGATATAACTCAGCGGCACAGCGCCTGCCTGGCAAGCGCAAGGTCATGAATTTGATTCCTGGTACAAAAAAAAATAAAATAAAAGAAGGGGCAAAAAGAAGAGCAACTATAAAATTAGGGAGGCAGAGTATAAAAACAGGCAAAGAAAATTGTTCTGGGAAGTGAATTGGAAAAAGCGAATTCTTACAGTTGTGAGACAAATCCAGGGGCTGCTAGTAACCCAAATGGTGAATAATGACAGCCTGGGAAAGTATTGGCTGTGGAGTTAGACAAGCGTAATCAGTGTGGCTTGAGACAGTTTGATGTGGGAGAGAGGAAATGGAAGATAATTGTTATGTTCCCGGCCTAGGTGATTGCAGGTAGGGTGATTCCATCAAAGAAATGGCTAATTTAGGAGAAGCAGGTCTGGTGGAGAAATTTAAGAAAGTACATTAAGATAGTAAGGTTATTACACTTTGAAGTAGCCCATCTGGCAAGTAGATATCCTACCAAAGATTTCAGAAGGGGCTGGGATAAAAGTAGAACTTTGAAATTTTCAATGAAAAGCAAGAGGTAAAGCCAGAGTAAAATGTTGGATACCCCGGGGAGAATGTAGCTAGCCTAGGAACTAAGGTCAGAGATTGAATGGTTCTTCATATTTAGTGATTGTATTAAATTGAAAATTAAAACTGAGCCACTTCTGATACCTGGTTTTGTATACTTTTTATATACACGTTTGTAATAAGTGTAAAAATACATGCTATATTTTTAATTAACTTCAAATACTTGATTTAAAACATTTGACTTTACCTCCTTCATATGTGAGTATGTATAAATTTTGGTTTTCTGTTTGTTTGCTTTTCGAGACAAGGTCTCACCATGTAGTTTAGACTGATCTTAAACTCATTATGTAGCCCATGCTGTCCTCGGACTCCTGCCTCAGCCTCCCAAGTGCTGGGATTACAGGCGTTGCACCACCACTCTCAGCCTGCAATTATGCATGTGCGCCTCAATATATACCTTTATTGAGCTTTAAATATCATGTTGTTTTAAGGACTGTTTCGAATGTGTCATTTTAGGTACATTAAAATGCCTAATCATCAATTTTGTTTTTCAGGCCTTCTTACAGTATCCCTGCCTTCTCTAATTTTAAAGTTCTTTACTTTTTATCTGGAAAGAAAGAGGTATTACACTCATTTGTTCATATCTGGAAAACAGAAATGATCGAATCCCACGTAAATCCATATCAACATAAAAAATGGGCATACAGATTAGTTTTCTGTTTGCGCATCTTCAAAAAAATTTTCAGTGTCTCTTTTCTGACATAAACCTTCACATAATGAAAGGCTTGTATGTTAAATGCGTAATTCAGTGACTTTGGAGACATGTAATACACCCTTCTCTAAGTCTGAAACATTTCCATTACCTTCGGAGAACTACTTTATAGCTCCTTGCTAGTCAGTTCCCACCTTCAGAGACAACTGCATTTTGGTTTCTTTTTTTTTTTTCTTAGCCATACATTAGTTCTGCCTATTCTAGAATTTGAAATAAATGGAGTAGTACACTATTACTTTGTGCCAGCTTCTTTCTCTTGGAATTGTATTTGTGAGGTTCACCAGTATTTCAAGCATCGGTATTCTTTTCCATTCTACTACTGAGTAGAATTTCCTTATAATGATAGACAGTTTATTATTTCACTGACTGATGGACATCATGGCTGTTTCTATTTTGAGGCTATAATGAATAAAGCTTGAATATTCATTCACTTGTGCTTTTAAGACATACTTTACATTTTATATGTACATATAAATATGTTTTTTTCTGAGGCAATGGCTAGGGAAGAATTGTTAGGTTATATATTTTTAACTCTTTAAGAAAGTCATAAACTATTTTCAGAAATCATGCACCATTTACATTTTCATCAGCAGTATGTTAATTTCTGCTCAGCATTCTGCAACATTTAGTACTGTTAGTCATTTTAAATATAGCTGTTCAGATACAGTGATTCCTCATGGCTTAATTTGCGTTTTCCTGGTGACTAAATGATATTGAACCATGTTCTTTGTGTTTATTTGCTTTTCATATATAATTATTTATATATTTATAAAGTAGCTCTTTTGCTTTCTTTTGTGGTAAATATACTTACCATACAGTTTACTATTTTAACCTTTTTTTAAGTGTTTATGTTGTGGCATCAAGTACTTTCACAGTGTGCCAACCCATCTCAACCACCCATGTCTAGAACAGTTTTCTCTTCTCAAACTGGAACTGTATTAGACAGTGCTCCCCCTTTTCCCATTCACACCCTCAGCTCCTGGCAACTGCCATCTGTCTTCTGTCTCTATGGTACCGTTTGCTGTCTGACCTTTTCTGTCAGCTTGTTCTGCATTGCATTGCATAGTGTCCTTAAGGGTCCTTTGTGTTGTAGAATTTCATTCCAAGGGCAGAATGGCTGAGATAGATGCAGAGATGGATAGAGAGGTAGGTAGGTAGGTAGGTAGGTAGGTAGGTAGATTCCAAGGGCCAAATGGCTGAGATAGATAGATAGATAGATAGATAGATAGATAGATAGATAGATTTTGACCTATTAATGGACATTTCTGCTATTTTCACCTTTTGGTTGTTGTAAGTAATACGCTAGGAACAGTAATGTCCTTGCCTGTTTTTTAAGGAGTTGCTTATATTTTTGTCAGAGTCACGTGTAAGTTATGAATTATATATAGTCATTGGTCAGATACATGGTTTGAAAATATCCTATTCTGTTGTGTCTTTGCTTGCTTTTTAACTGTCTTTTGACTACTAAAACCTTTAATGATGTGAAGTATAATTTACAATTTTTTAAAATTATATGATATTTTTGTCTTAAGAAATCTTTACTTCTACTTGAAAAACACTGTTTCTATTGTAGAAGATGTATAGTTTGAAAAAGAAAAGATTTATAGTTTGAGTTTTTACTTTTAGACCTGTGATACTGCTTAAATTTTTTTGTGTGTATGATGTGAGATAAGAATTATGGTCTTCCTACAAGCGTGTAGAAGGATATCCTATTATTCCAACATTGTTTGCTATTAAATTTCCTTGATTCCTTTGTCCAAAATTAAGTCCTGTAAATGTGACTGTATGTCTAGACTCCATTTTATTGTATTCATACATTTTCCTGACCTCTGCCATTACTGTACTCATTTTCTGCCTTATAAATCTTGAGGTCAGATGATAAAAGTCCTCCAGCCCTTCTCTTTTTTTGAAGATTTTCTTAAATATTCTAAGTTGTTTGAATTTCTACATAACTTTTAGAATCAGGTTTTCAGATTCTATTTTTGTAAATGTCTACTGAGGTTATGGTAGCTATTGTATTGATTGAGTAATACCAAAATGTATGCGATGTCAGTAAATCAGTGCTTAAAGGGAAACTGATAGATTTAAATGCTTATATTAGAAAAGAAAGATTTACTTTGTTTTTAAAAGCCTACAGTTCTTTCTTAAACATCTAACAAAAAATAAAAGCTAAGTAAATGCCAACTACAAAGAATGAAAAAGTAATAAGGATGGGGCAGACATGAAGAGTATAGAAAAAAGAAGGAAAACAGGTATGAATAGTAAATACAAAAGAAAAAGGCCATATCAGTAAACATTCTATACTCGTTAGAAAGATAGTAAAGACAACAAGGAAATCAGTCAACTGGAGAACCTAAGAGAAACAGAACAGTGAAGAACATAAATAACTGTTACCCCAGAGATGATCTGACTAGTACTCTACCCGTTGAAATTGAATTCATTGGTTTAAAACCTTCCTACAAACATAGTTTATATGGATTAAATATTTCAGTATGAAAACACTATCAATCTCATACAAATACTTTTATAAAACAATATTAAAACTTCCTTAATGATTTCTTCTTTCAGTAATTAATCATTTATAATTGTTTAATTTCAAAATATATGAAATATTTCTAGGTCTGTTATCGTTATTGATTTCTGGTTCAATTCCAGTTTGGTGGAGGAAAATACTTGGTAAAAGTATTCACCGTGGTTTGTTTCATGGCTCACGCTGTGACTTGTCTTGGTGAATGCTTCGTGTGCACTTGAATGTTTGGTAGTTATTGGTTATGGTATTCTGTGAATGTGAAATATGGAGTGGTAAAATTTCCAAATGGTAATTTACTAGTTTTGTAAGTTTTTGTTTCATTCGAAGCTCTGTTATTTTATTAGGCATGTGTTCCTTTGTAATTATTTAATTTTATAAAATGAAATACTTCTTTATTTTCCTTATCATTAATTCTGTTTGGTCTGTTACTAATATTAGTCATTTCATCAGTCTATTTGGTATTTACATTAGGTTTTTCAAAGTAGTCTTCCACATCAGCCAACAATATAGTGTATTTTAAAAGTCGAACATCTACATTTCAAAACAAAGCATCTCCTCACCTCTTCTCCAAAGATAACTAAATGTGAAATTTCATTCCTTTGTTTTTGTTTAACTCAATACTTTGAACAGTACACAAATCACTTAATAGTTAATGTGTAGTAACTGCCGAGTGAAAAGCAGCTGCCAGACAAGAGTTGATATTGGGTAGCATAAGTGTGACATGTTTGCCAAAAAAGGTTCTTGTTTTTCATTTAAAGAAAGTTTATTTTAAAGAAAAATATACAAGGTATGAAGAATTTACTGGGTTGAAAAGTATTTACCTGAATGAAGTGATAAGTCTATGTGAGGCACAAGTAATATTTTAAGAAAACAAAAATATAAAGCATTTATTTTGAGAGATAGAGCCTATTTATAAAAAACAGTAAGTATTATTGCATTTGTACAGTTTTTGTCATGTAAATATAGCAAAAAGGATCGATTGTATTCAGAAGTGCTTACTTCAGCGTTGTGCCTATTTAGTAGATGTTGAAGAAAATGAAGATGCCGGCGCAGCCTCTCTTCCCACTCAGCCACCTCAGCCGTCATCCTCCTCGACTTATGACCCAGGCAGCATCCCATCAGGCAGCTATACAGGAATCCAGATTCCTCCAGGTGCACATGCGCCAGCCAACACACCAGCAGAGGTGCCGCACAGCACAGGTCAGAAATCCCAAGTCCCTTTCATAAATGAGAGCTGCATTTCTGTCATACATGTGCCTCCTAATGATGGCCTACCCCACAGCAGAATCCTTCAGTGTGCAAAAAAGCATGAAATTGCTGTCGTTGAGGTTTTACTGTTTATTGTAATCTAGTTCTTTGAGCAATAACAAATATTTTGGTGTATCAGTTACTTTTAAGTCAATTAAAAAGAGTATTAATACTTCTTTTTCTTTCCTTCCCTTCTTTGCCCTTCACTGTCGTTGAAGAATAACACCGTGGTGACTGAGGTTTCTTGTAGGTTGTGTCAGTTGGGATTGTACTGTGGTAACAAGATCCAGGCCTTTAGATCATTTTGCATGAGTTGAGTAACATTTAAAAGTTTTCTATTTTGATCATCTTTTTCTTCATATTTTGAAAGTTTTAACTGTGTATCTTACCTGCAGATAATGCTAGTGTTTGTCTTTAAGACTGCTAATGAGATTGACCATTGCAGTATTAGCCATCTCCAGAACCCCACATGGGCATTCTCTTGGAGGGGTCAGCTCAGTGTGTTCGGGAGTCAGGTAATACTAAACCCTGAGTTTGCTAATCCACAAATTAAACTGGTCTTCAACTTCCCTCAACCTAGACTTTTTCTTTTTTCTGAAATGAAATTAAATATACTTAGCTTTCCCTTTTAAAGGGAAAGAGTATAAAAGTTTAGCAGTAAACCTAACACAAAAATCCATGATCAGCAAATTAGCTCCAATTTTTATGCCAAAGAAGATAGTTAATGTCAATAAATATTTAAAATCTTTTTTTTAATCAAGAGAAGTATCACATTTAGAATTAAAACTTTAAAAAACCTTACAGAAAGATTATCCAAGAGATACTGCCTTAGATATCTTTTAAGGTACAGCCACCACATACACATTACTTTATATGTAGCTTATGTACCATATATATTCTACCTCACCACCACCACATATGTTGTGCGTGCGTGTGTGTAAGAGAAAGCACTTTTAGTAGGAGGGTTACGTTAAATTAATTGCTGTTTTTGTACAGCAAAAGTTATAAAATATTGATAATTTTACATGTTCAAACAATATATACTGCTGGAAATATTTATGATGTAAAGATAAATGTTAGAAAGTAGTTGTCTATTTCATTTTGATCCAGTTAACCTGGGCATAGGTTGTTTTTTCTCCCTCTCCTCCTCCTTCCCTCCTTCCCATTCCTTAGAGAAGGGAATAACTAAACACTTCAAAACCTTTATACGGTGAGTCTCTATCTTGTTTTATACATTTAGCTGTTCGTACAGTTGTTCTTGTAGCAACTCTGTTGGATACTGTCTTTTGTTTACAGAATCTGGAGAGATTAACACTTATCGAAGACAACAGACTACCCAGTGAGAGCCAAATTTGAACCCAGGTGTAGCTTCTTGCCTTCACTCTTTCCATGTCCCTTCCTCCAAGAAACTAAAATCCTGTGAACTATGCCTGAGTTTCTGAGAGTCTGTTTCCCCGTGCTGGTTGGAGATGTTGGCCTCTCCTCCTAACCCTCAGATTTCTTTTCTATTTTATTTGTAATATTTCAAAAATCAATTCATAATTATTTAATAAAAAAAAACATTTTTGATTTATTAATATAGCAGATGTTTCCCGTCTTGTTCACTTAAAGAATGATTTACTTTCCCACATATAAAGGTTCAGGATACACTTTTATCAAAGGGAAATCCTTAAGATAGCCAGAAAGAATAGTTTGTACTAATTTACAGTTTTCATTTCTTCCATAAAAAAGCAAAGGGTTTACAACAGGGGCGGGGATAGCGATTGCTTCAGGCCACTATATGTGCCTCCTGTGCTTTAGCCACTGGGCAAGTATCACGTGGAGGCAGTTCACACATTTTTTTTTCCTCTTGAAACACATGCTTCTTACAGTTTATAGTAGTATAAAAAAATCTACTTAGATGCAGTAGAATTATGTTATAATAATACTGGCCTTTTAATTATGAAAGAAGCTCACCTCATATAGGCAGTTGGCTCTGTTGAGCTCCGTTAGGCTTTGGTGCTTTGTTATTAACCCTCTGACTTGTTTCTCTCTGTGCCATTCCCCATAATTAAATGCAGGTTTTTCTCAGCCCAGTCCTTCTGTTTTCTTACCTTTACCTCTCCTGTTTTATAGGTTAGCGTATCTCTCTCCCTTTTTCTCTGCCTCTGTAAGTCCTGCTTTCTCTCAGGGTTCTGTGTACTTTTTGTATAATTTTCTCTAGTTTTCTAACCAACACCCATATCTCCTTTTTACAATCCCATCATTTAGTCAATACAGCAACTTAGTACTTCACTGGAAATCTTTCTCATTCTTGAACGTGCATTCATCCCATCTATATGCTGTAGATGCATCTACTTAAGGAATTAGAAGTTACATCTTAGCACTTCTTTGGTGTTAAACAATAGGAAAAAGATTCCAGACTCATTCTGCTGTTCTCCAGGAGTGTTTTAGGGTCACATCTCTCCAGTATACTGCAGTTTGGGAACCATAACCCTTTTGGACATTGTCAGATGAGACCTATCCAAGTCAAGACTGAAGGGAAAAATAACTACATGTGGGCATCTTCATAAATAAGTGAACAGCATGTACTAATTTAACGGGTATTTATAAGCTTGTATTGCACCACTCCTCTCGCCCATGGGAGCAGCTCCTGCTGGCTGCCAGAGCACAGGCCTGGTCTCCACACTTTCAGATAAACAAGGGACAGCAACTGCTGACTGCCGCCTGAGGTGTGGTGAGCAGTCGCTCGTTGGGTCAACACAGTACTTAATGCGATGCAGGCTACTGTTTCTTTTTTTTTAATATTGTTCAAATGAAATTTTACTACATAATTGAACATTTTCTCCCCGTAAATTTGATTTTGTCCTTGTTAATATTACCTAGTCAGTCACATGGAGTTGTACAAATAAGCATTTGAGAGTTAAAGCAGGCTTTGACTAAAACATATGCCTTCTTAAAACATCAAATGCTTGGTTTGTGGATTTTAATTTAGGAAAAAACACAAATTATTTAGCAAGCTGATATATAGGTTGCATTCTGAGAAAGTTTATAATTTGCCTTTTAAGTAAAAAGATCTGTGAAATGAACATATATGATCATCTACACACATTTTAAGTACAGCTACTTCAAAACACTAGCCTTGCCTTTGAGGGTCCCTCTCAGACCTTGTATTCTAATTTTTTAATATTAATTTTGTGCTCTGAAATGTGTGGCAAGTTTATGGGAAAAATTATTTCAAATATTTGTAGTTTCAGAATACATGTACTTGGTTAGCTCTTATCAAAATCAAGCAAAAAATAGTAACAGCTGGTTAATTTAAAATGTGTATGTCTCTTGACTTTGCAGTAATACTTATATAAATTTTTTCTATAAGTACATTTTGTATACACTGTGTATAAGAATATTTACTGAAGCGTTAACTGCTGTAACAATATTAGTAGTCTCTGTAGCAACCTAAACAGTTATCAGTAATGGACTGCTTTTTGAATGATAGTGTATGCATAGAATGGAACACTACATAATCATTAAAAAGACCATGAAATGTATTAATCCAGAATTATTGCTAAACCATATTCAGGGAAAAATGCACAGCCATTATCGTATCTATGCAGAGCACATTACCATTTGCAAAACACACATAGTATGCCTTCTTGATGGGGGAGGAGGTTTATTTAGAGGATTTTGGTTTAGGAAAGAACATAGACTTCTTAACAAAGAATAGCAGTGAGATGGATGGAGGGAGGATGGATAGATGGATGGATGGATGGATGGATGGATGGACGGATGGGTGGGACTGGAAACAGAGGAAACCCACAGTGGCTTTAAATTAGTTAATTCCCCCTAAAGTGGCTTGGGGTTGAAATGAGAGGCAGGCTTTCATGTACATATTTTTGGTACTGTTTAAAATTTGTACTTGACTTTTTACCTGTATACCTTGTATTTTTCAAGGTTTTTGTTCAATTTTTAGTTAAAAGGTAAAATTTTCATGACGTTTAATAGTCATGAAAATAATTCCAACAACTATAAAAGAAGTTTACCCTAAAACAAAATTAAATGAAGTAAAATAGTTAATAAATTGAAACTGTTATTTTCCTTGAGTTGGAGATGAGCTCCTTCAAAGTCAGTGTCTCATACTAGGAAAATTATTTTAAAATGTTAATCAACCTTTGTGAAACCATAACTCTAGTACTCCATTAGGACATGTATTTGTGTCTCTAGGAACCTTTCTATCTTCCGCCTTTCCTCTCTTCTCGTTTCCGTTGCCACTTAACCCTTGCTACAGATTGCCTGTTCCCGCTTAACCTACTTGGATTTAGCCTGTCAACTGGAAGTAAATAAACTTTGGTTTGAGATGTTATTCGACTTCATTAATTCTGAGTAATCAACTTTTCTTCATTCATCTCCCCTGTTAAATGAAATACTTGAAGTCTTTCTTTTAAGAATATTAACACCTTTTGTTAATTTCTTTGACGAATAATAACCTTCAACTCTAATGTGAGTTTCACTAATTACTCATTCAGTATAACAATTTTGACAAGTTCCAACAGAAAATCAAAATGAATTGCTAATGGGTCTACAAAATACCATCGTAACAGAGTGCTAACTGGAGTCAGACACAGGGGCACAGTCTTGGGAAGTCAGTACTTAGGAGGTCAGGAAAGAGGATCACAAGTTCCAGCCCAGCCCAGCAACTTAGCGACTTATCTCAAAATAGAAAATAAAAAGCTGGGGCTGCTAGCCCACACCTGTAATACCAGCAGTGGGGAAGCTGACTCGAGAATTGCCAAAAGTTCAAGACCAGCCTGAACTACATAGCAAGACCGTGACTCAAAAAACCAAAAATTTAATAATATTTTTTAAAAAAAGGGTGTGGTGGAGCTCAGTGCAGAGGTGCTAGGTTCAGTCCCCACTGTGGGGGTGGGGGGGACTTTAAAGTTGGAACTATAAAATTTGAATTTTATGCAAACTGATGAACTAGCACTCATAAATTAAACTAAATCATCATTATGCTCCACCTTATCTAATAGGCTAAGAGATTAAAAGATAGGAAAGAAGTCTGTTACTTTTACAAATATATGGTAAGCATTAATTGCAAAACAAGTTGAAGCACAATACCTGACATGTAAACACTCATAATGTGTTTTTTCCCTGTGTTCTACACCATTGTCTAACATTAATTAAGTATAATTTGGAATCCATTAACGTTTCAAGAAAATACTAAAACGAAGTAGTGAAATTCCCCCATGATCTTTAAATTCTTCCGTGATATATAATTAAGAGGTGTAACGCTTTATACCCATTTGCGGTTCTCTGATTTGCAGGTGTCACGAGTAATACTATCCAGCCTTCTCCACAGACTGTCCCAGCCATTGATCCTGCGCTGTTCAGTACAGTTTCCCAGGGTAAGTCAGCTGCCTTTTCTGAGCCATATTGTCTTTCTTCAATTGAGATGTTATTCTGTAATTTTACCATAAGTACTGTACATGCAAATGTTCTTAACTTGCATCAGAATGTGTGGGTGATTTATAACAGAACTTCTTTGCCTCTGTTCACTAGATTTCCAGGATTGTTTCATATTCTCAAAAATACCTAACGCCAAAGGTTCCCTTTTGTAGTGTTCTTTTTATATACTACTTGATACAGTGGCACAAACTTGCCAGGACTACCGTGAAAGCTTAATGCTAGATTAATTTGGTTCAGGATTACTGTGTATTGTGATAATGATCTTTTTTAAATACACTGTTGTTAAATTATCTCAAAAGAAAGGAACTGACCCTTATTGAAATAAATCTCTGAGGTTGATTATTGTAGTTGTTTGGTTTATAGGCTACATGATTGGTTTGATTGTAATCTTTCCTGCTTTTCTTCTGCTTTTACCTCAAATAAGATGTTGGATTTATTTGGATCTTTGAATTTACTTTTTCATATGTCTAATGAGATTTGGGTTTTGTTTTATTTAAAAATCATGTTTTTTTAGGTAGTTTTGATAGTCTAGTTTTAGTAGTAAACGAGTTTACCCGTTTTCTGCTGATATGATGTATGCGGGTGTGTCCTCCCATTGGTTGTATATTCTCCTTGTGTGAGCGAAGACTGGCCGTTGCACCTGCCTGTCAGCTGTGCAGTGAGCAGAGCCATTGCGGAAGGTGCGGAGCAGAACGGAGTCCACACAGCTGTGTCAGTCTTGGCACTGTCCCGGCAGTTTTTCCACAATTTAGGGTGCTGCCTTGTATCTTTTTTTCCTAGAGCTAAAAGTGAGAGTTGGGAAGGTGTTGGGGTAAGGTTGGTATGCAGAGGTTTATAGAATAGGGAAAGATAGGAAACAGGCGTATTATCATCTTATTCTCTGTAAAGATCCCCATGCTCCTCTTTCTATGCCTCCACCCTTTCTGAGCTTTCTCTGAAGATACCCTCTCCTGGACTGAATTGTGCTTCTGAGTTGAGCTTTTTTTCCATGTTTATCTCAAAGCATGTATTTCCTTCCGCTGGATTTCTTCCTTTCTAGAAATGTATCAGTTCTCCCTTTGCAGCTTTTCTGTTCTATCTCCTCTGCTTTTGCTTTTCAGTTTTATAGATGTTACTTTGTACTGCTGTATCATCTTAGTGGTTTCAACTTTTCCCCGTCTTGCCAAAATGAAATGAATTGTGAGAACGAAAATTAAGAACTTAGGCACTTTAAATCCTGAGAAAATTCAAAGAGCATTTGGATGTTTCATAGGGAAACAGCGTTATGGTGGTAAAAATAGGTAAGGAACCTGTACTAAACTCGGCACATTACCCAGGAACGTAGTGAAAGATGTTTATCTGTCATAGACAGAGACATGGCCTGCCCAACTTATGCAGTATGCCTCTGGTAAGCTTAGTTTCAGGATTTCCGCCTATAGATACACGGATTCTGTCTGAATACACTCTACGTACAACCTAACACGGAAATATCTGAAAGAGAAATACACGAACAGATCAGTGAAGCAGAATAAGAAATCCAGAAATCAGGTCACAGCCACACAGTATGGGAATTAAGTTAATGATAAAAGCAGTACTTGCATCACTGTAGCAAGAGTATATATTTAGAAATAATGTTAAAACAATTAGCTATTAGGTAAAAAAAAGTTACATCAGCTATCCAGCTCAGTTCTTGTGTGAGTTGGTTTTTGTCTTGACAAATGTAATAAATTCCATAAAGCAAAAGATCTTCTCTCCCCCATTGTATTGTAAAAATGCAGCTAAAAGACGTGGGGTAAAATTTCATTTTTAAATAATGAAGAATTAATGTTCAAAGTGTACATAAAAACTCCTATAAGTGAATAAGGAGAACTTAACTCAGCAGAAAAAATGAGTGAGAATAGAAACATAATGTAAATATGCAGTGTGAATAGATGAAAGATTCACAAGCTTAATAATAATCAAGGAGGCCGGGCCTGTTGGTGCACGCCTGTACTGTAATCCCAGCATTTGGGAGGCTGAGGCAGGAGGATCGCTTCAGTTTGAGGCCAGCCTGGGCTACAAAGGGAGTTCAAGCCCAGCCTGAACCTCATAGGGAACCCTGTCTCAAAAAGAAAAGAATAGTAATAATTATTACTATAATCAAGGAAATCACAAATCAAAGTCAGTTTGGTTTTATATGAGTAAATGCAAAAATACTGTACAAAAATGGTAATCTACAGTGTTAATAAAGATGTGAGGCATGACTCTTGCATCCTGTTGATGGGAGCATTAGTTGATAAGGCTTCGTTTAGTGATACTGTCACTATTAAAATTGCAAATGCTTCTACTTTTCAACCCAGCTCTTTGACCTATAAGAATCTCTCATAAAGATATACTTCACGAGTACAGGGTATTTCTAAAGATATTTGTTTTGGAATTGTTGTAATAGCACTAAAAAATGATTTAAATATACATTATATTCTGTCCCTACTATGTAATAATATGTACACATATTTAAAAAGAATATAGTACTTCTCATGTAAAAAGATTGTCTGGATACACTAAGCAGAAGGGCAAAATGAAAAACATTAGATATAGTATAACACTGTTTAGAAAAAAATGAGACACAAAACTGTCTTTGTGTGTGTGTATGGAGGTGTGTGTGTGTGAATGCATAGGAAAATCTATAGACTACATTCTGGGCTATAAAACATACCTAAAACATTTTTTTAAAACTTAAAATCATGATCTATCTGCACTGAGAATGCAGAAGAATTTAATAGAAAATCATTTACAGAATATTAACCTACAGAGTTCCAGAATCCTTAGGAAGTCAGTAGCATGCTTCTAAAAAAATTTCTGGCCAATGAGAAATTTCAAACAAATTTAAAAATACTTTGAACTACATGAAAACAGAACTTAACAAACTTGGGGGATGCCACAGAAGCGTTGCGTAGAGGGAATGCACATATTAGAAAAGGAAAATCTATGAAAATTAGTTACCTACGATTTTGACATAGAAAGTTAGGAGAAGAATAAATTTTAAAACTGAAGTAACTAGAACACTGATTAAAAAATTGAATATACCAAAAAATTTTAAAACTTCCCATGATCATGGAATAGAAGAATAATTAAAATACCCATTATTACTCAAAATGATTTACAGATTCAGTGCAGTCCCTATCAGAATACCAAAAATGTTCTTCACATAGCTAGAAACAGTAATCTCAAAATTCATATTCCAACTCAAAAGATTCTGAATAGCCAGAGCAGTCTTAAACAAATAGAACAAAGCTGAAGGCATTATGAGACCTGATTTCAAGACATACTCGAAGACAGTAATAATAGAAACAGTGTAGTACTGCTTTAAAAAAGAATCATAAAGGAATGGAATGGAATGGCATAGATCCTATGTAGAAATAAACTCACGTGTCAACAGGCAACCAGTTCTCAACAAAGGTGCCAGAAACATACATAGGAGCAAGGACGGCCTGTTCCATAAACAGTTCTGCAGAAGCTGTACATCCATATGCAGAAGACTGAAATTTCACCCCCACCTCTCAGTCTGTCCAAAACTCAACTCAAAATGAATCAGATTTAAATGTAAGACCTGATGCTCTGAATCTCCTGGGAGAAGACATAAGGAAAACACTTCAAGACATTAGTGTAGCCCTGGTTTTTTAATAGGACTCCAGAAGCACAGGAAATAGAAATATAAACAAAAGAAGCTAGCGCACATCAAAGGAAACAGCACAGTAAAGAAATAATCCACAGAACGGGGAAAATACTTACTGACTGCTCACCTGACAAAAGGTTCATTCATACCCAGAATATGTAAGGAACTAAAAAATAATATGTATTCAGTTAAAAATGGGCAGCTGATATAAATACAGTTTTCAAAAGAAATACAGAATTGCCAACAAGCACATGAAAAAATGCTCAATATTATTAGTCATCAGAGAAATGCAGATCAAAACTGCAATGAGATTGCATCTCACTCTAGTTAGAATGGTATGAAGGTATAATGAAGGAGGAAATCTTGGTATATTTCTATAATGATTATGGAAAAGAAAGTAGAGGTTCCTCAAAACGCTAAAAATAGATCTAAAACAGAATTCAGCTATCCTACTTCTTCGTATATATTCAAAGGAAATTAAATGAGCGTATGAAAGAGATACGTGTATAATTTGAAATTATCAGTTCTTTCTTTCATAGATTGCTGATAACAATACATGTAAAACTTTACCACCAAACTGAAGGTCATCTAGTTTTGCCTATAATAGCTTTTTTTTCTCTAAAAGATAAAAAAAAAACTAACAAAACAACACAAAAACAACAAAAACATGGCATGACCTCAAAACAAAATGATAGGAATTAGCAATGGTTGGTGCATTACATACTGTTATCTTGGACAAAGTTGCTCATTCCACCAGACATAAGAATGTAAGATTGATCAAACAATCAGAACAGTAACAAGTAATGAAAAAGAAAAATAACATTGGAAAGAAGGAAGAGAAAAAAATATGTATATGTATGCACAGGATAGCTAGGATAATTGTATTACTAATGCCTATTGGTTTATTATAACTTTTAAGAGTTTTACCGTTTTGCATTTTATGTTTGTCATGTGACCCACTTTGAGTTAAATGTGAAAAAGATACAAGGTCTATGTCTAGGTTCTTTCTTTTTTTTTTTTTTTGTAATTGTAATTTCCAGCACCATTTGTTGAAACAAGTATTGTTTTTACCTATTGTTACCTTTGCTTCTCTGTTAAAGATCTGTGGTTTGTGGGTTTCCTATTCTGTTCCAATGATCTATTTGTCTTTACTTTTGGTAATACCATATCATCCTGATTAGTGTAGATTTATAGGATGTCTTCAGTCTGGAGGGTCAGTTTTCCAACTTTGTTCTCTGGAGGGTCAGGCTTCCAACTTTGTTCTCATCCTTAAATGGAGTTGACTACCATGGGTCTTTTGCCACTCCACACAAACTTTACAGTTACTTTGTTGATGAGCACAGAGTTACATACTGGGATCTTGATTGGAATCAGTAGATCATATTAGAAAGAACTGACAGCCTATCTATGAAAAGCATGGAATATTTCTCCATTTACTTTCTCTTTGGTTTCTTTCATCAGAGTTTTGTCATTTTACTTGTATAGATTCTGTGCATATTTTACTAGATTTACACCTAATATTTCATTTTGTGGGTTGCCAATATATGATGTATTACTGTTTATATAAGCACAAACACGATGATATTGTGCTTTTAATTTCAAATTATAGATTTTGTTGTGGAGCTACTCACAATGACTAAGGTAGAATCATTCTAGGTATTTATCATCTGATGAGTGCATAAGGAAGAATGAAATTGAGTCATTTGCTTTAAAATGAATGGAACTGGAAGACAAAGATGTGAGCTTATCAATTTATTAAAATTTTCTGCCCAGCAAAAGTCACTGTCAAGAGAATGTAGAGATGTGCTACAGATGAGAAAACATGCAAAAGACTTCTCTGGTAAAGAACCGCTGTCTGAAATATACAAGGAACTATCAACACTAGGAGCACAGTCCTGTTTGTAAATGGCCAAAAGACTTTAGCAGACGCAAAGAACATGAATAGCAAGTACGCGTATGGAACGATGCTCCATGTCCATGTGTCACCAGGCAAATGCAGCTTAGAAAAACGACGAGAATCCACCACATACCCATTAGAATCACCAAGGTCCGGAACATTAACACTACCAACTGCTGCGGAAGGTTTGAAACAACAGGAACTCTCATTCATTAATGGTGTGGAATCAAAATGGTTTGAACATTCTGGAAGATACTTGGACAGTTTCTTAGAAAACTAAGCGTATCCATGCTGTCCAGTCCTGCACCATGATTCTTCATTTTACCCAAAGACGGTGAAAACATAAGTGCACACAGAATCCTACACACGATGTTCATAGTGGCATTGTTCAGAATTGTCAAAACTTAGAAAGTGACTAAGATGTCATTTATTGATGAGTGGACAAACTATGGTGTATCTAGATGAAAGAATATTATTCATGCTGAAAACAAATGAGCTGTCAAGACATAGAGGAAACTAAATTTACATGACTAAGTTAAACCAAGCTGTAAAGCTGCATGCTACACAATTCCAACTCTGACATTCTGGAGACACTGAAAAGATTCGTAGTTGTCAGGTTTGGGGCAGAAATGGCAGGAGGAATATGATGGTGCACCGAGGAATTTACAACAGTGAAACAATTCTGTGTGCTGCTCTTATGGTAGATTCTGTCATGAATTTTTCCAAACTCATAGAATACACAAAACCGAGAGTGAATCCTAATGTAGACTGTGGTATGTATGTGTTAATCCTACTGTGCATTAGTTATTTTTGTAATAAAACTTGTGGCCAGTTTTAGAAGAATGGAATTAGAAAGGTAGCTATTTGAAGCAGTCTTTACTTTACCTTTTCATATATCTGTATAGTATTTAAGTATCAATAATGACTTGCCTGAACGTTTTTTGAATCATAAATATCTGAAAAGTATTTAGCAGGCATAGTGAAATTTTGTTGTGTTCTTCTACTCTTACTGATACTATGAAGTGATGTAAATGGTACTTTAAAGGGATCATAATTAGGTGACAGATTTTTTTCTTGAATTTAAAATTTTAATCCATTTCATTATTAAGGATTTGTTGTCTATATTTGTTAAATGAAGGAAAGCCTGGTGTGTTACAAAAGTAACCACTTGACATGGCTTTTTAAGTTCTTTGAAATGAGTGTTGAAAAGAAATTTAACATCTCTGTGTGTCTTTCAATTACAGTTTGCATCTAACCCCACAGCTTGGTTATTACATGTGGATACTGCCTTCTATGTACAAGTTACAGAAGTTGTTATGTATGTGTAGAAGCTTGATATATCAATATTTTTCACTTAAACTATTTCATTCACATTTTCTAAATACTGAGATTATTTTGTTAAATTGCAGCATTTGTTTTAAAATAGTTTTGTCATTAGTTTATAAAAAGTAACACTCCTTTTCATTATAACATTTTATCTTATTAATAAATAAATAGATGTCATCAAACAGTGCTAAGGCGAATGCTGTAAAAATAAGATTAGTGTGAACGTTAGTACTTTCTTCCAACAAGTTCAGTAAATTTTGGACGGATGCCTTTATGTATTTAAAAGATTTCCCTGAGATAAAAGGGTAGAATATTCAGTGATAAAAGGGTGGAATATTCAGCATAGACTGAACAGTGTTAAACTAAATTTTCCAAAGTGTCTTATTGACCTACCTGGTACATATCCAGTCTCTAAAGTGGGTATTAGTTCAAGGAAAAGAAAAACCATAAACTGACATGAGCCTGTCTGAATTGTAAACAGAACTGAAGCATAGCTCCTTTTTAGATTTAATGGGTAACAAATATCAGAATAAAATACTGAAAGAATTGTGGAGAAACTGCTTTTGGTTTTTATTATTTAATTACAGTTTACTAATTGATGATTGTATTCTTGGTTTTTAAAAAGCAAGACCAAAATTCAAAAGAATTAAAATAGTTTCTTTTGGAATGTGTAATCTGATTCATAGTAGTAAAAAACAAATTTTAATATAATTTTTAACAATATTCACTAGGTATTTGAAGAGTCCCTATATGTCACACCCTACACTAGAGTATAAATTTGTCAGTGTATTTTCTTAAAATCTGAAATTTAATTGTTTAATTCTGGGTGAACTTTATTTTAAAATGTAGGAGTCATTGAAAGTATGGACAGCATTTTCATGTAAAGTTACTGAGCTGAGCCAGGACAGGTACCTGGCCCTGAGATAACAGCTTTAGAAGTACACACATTGTGTCAGTATTCTTTTTGAAAATTTGAGAAGATAGTAACATTGTTTAGAATTTAGTATCAGCTTACCTGGAGTTGCTACCGTTTATCAATGTACTATCAAAGATTTCACTTTATACTATATCTACTGATGGCAGAAATTAAAAACAACTTTAAAAAGTCATTCTCAGTTCAGCCTTATAAAACAGAATTGAAGTTAGTCATCAGCTTATTACACTGTGTGCCTCTAGCCTTCTAATCAGGAAATACTCGCTACAGTTCTCCTAAAAATTTCCACAGAAAGGGGTGTTTCAGTAAACACACTGTCAGCTTTTGAGCTTGTCTTTAGAAATACATATTCAAATATATTCATGTATTAGACTCAATATATTTTAGTGTGTTTTTCACCAAAGTATTTAGGTGGGCTCTGTCATATGTTTAACTAGAAAACTTGCCAGAAATAATTTTTAGCAAATAATTTGTAAATTATCGTTGTTTTCATGTTTGTATTTGAATGATAAAAAAAAAATTTAGAAACTGCAAGAATTTTATTTGGATTGAACAAAAATGTAAAATATTTTCATTCTGAAAATGTTAAATGCTGTGTTTTCTACACAAAGTATGTTACTTACCTTTCTTATTGAGGATCGTATTTCCTGTATATTCTAGCTCCAGTGAGGGTGGGATGGTTTAGTCTGTGTGTATTGTTCCATGAAAAGAGCAGCTCAGTGCTTTTAGCCTAAATTTCAAAGCTCTGTTTTCAAACAAACTACTTTTTTGCAGTTAATTTGCTAAAACATAGAAACATCTAAGTTACTGCTTCTTGTAGGAAAATCTTACTTGTATAAGTTATTTTATGTTGCCATAACTGGTTTATATTCATCATTAAATATTGAAAAGAAGGAGAAAATTACCAAAATGAGCAAGATTGAAAAAATTTTATTTTTACATAACAATAAATAATTTCTTTGATTTCAAAGGGAACCACTTATATAAGCTACAAACAACTTTTGTAATCTAATAAAATCTTAATCTCTTTCTTCTAGGGGATGTCCGTCTAACTCCAGAGGACTTTGCTAGAGCTCAGAAATACTGCAAATATGCGGGCAGTGCTTTGCAGTATGAAGATGTGATCACAGCCGTACAGAATCTACAGAAGGCCCTCAAGTTGCTGACAACAGGCAGAGAATGAACCCTTTGTACAGGAGATTCGTGTATTTTTGGCAGAAGGAGCTAACGTCCGTTACTCTGTCATCGGCCTATCAGGAGCACAGTTTTAAGGGGGACTTTAGTTCCATTCAATGTGACAATGAAATCTGTGTCTGATTCCTACTGAAGCGTTTAGCAGCAGCCTCAGCCAGTTTTCATTGTCGGTTTAGTGGATTCCATGATCTCTGAGTCTATAGGACTGATGTTAGCAAGATTCTTTAAAAACGTCCATTGAACCCTACTTCAAAAATGAAAACACACCACTATAAAATTATAGTGGGAATAAGCTTGTTAATTCAGGTACATTAGGGGATTTTCTAAAAATCTATACTATTTGAACAAACCACATTACTTTGCTATAAAACTCTAAATTTAACTTTTAATAAAGATTGCCAGAATATTCTAGAGATCATGTTTTTGTTTTCCTCAAACTTCACAAAATAAATGTGAATATCTGAAAATGTTAGATGAATCCAAAAGACATTATGTCAGAACCCTTAATTTGTATTCATATTAGATATAACTGTGTCACAAATTTAAAACTATGAAAAGAAATAAAAATGAGGTCAAGCAGTAGAGTCACATTTAGACTCAAGAATGACGTTGGTTTCCTTACTTGATTCCCTTTATCCACTGAAGCGTAAAAGGAATTGGCCTTTGCTTCGATGGCAGTTTGACTGCATGTATATGAAAATGAAAAATCAGTTATAGTAATGCCTGGGAACTTGGTGCTTCAAGTTAAGATTTTCCTCAGCTGCTGTGGAATGGGTTCGACAGAGTATATAGATGGAATGATGCCGAAGATTATAGGACTTCAGATTCTCAGTTACTAAGTTTATAAGTTTTGTGGGGGATTATAGACTTACTGTATCACCTGCATTTGTGCTGTGTAGAAAATAAATACAAAGAGTCTTTTCATTAGCTCAACCTTATTATAAAGCCAAATGTCTGTTTTGATTTGCATGGCAGAATTGTCCTTTTTAAACATGTTTATGTTCAGTTATAGGAATACAAATGTTTCTGTAGTAAGGAACAGTTTTTAAGGTGAATTTGACAAATTTACTTGAAGCTTATGTGTTTCCTTTTGCTTATGGCCCTTGGATTAAAATCTTTTAGGTGTCAGCGAGCTGTGGCCCATGGACGGTTCACCTGTAGTATAAGATTTTACTGGAACAAAACCATACCCGTTCATTTATGTTTTGACTGGTTGTTTTGCACAACTTAGAGTTGTGTGGCTTGCAAGCTTAAAACATTTATTATCTTGCCCTTCAAAAAGAAATATAATAATACCTATTCCAATTGCCTAGTTGAAAAAAAAGTGAATCACTAACTCATCACCATTTGTGTTAATTATTCTTTGCATAAATATGGTGCGCAAGGTTTGATAGAATGAATGTTGGTTGAATGAACAATTCTAAATTATCACAAAAAATACCCAAAAACATACCTCCTGAAAAATGTTCTCAGATCTTCCACAAGATGTATAAACAGGTATAGAGTCCAGCATTTGCGTCTGGGAACACAGTGCTCTGATACAGCTCTGTAGAACATCATCATAATTGGAAGCTGGCTAGGGTGATTTTTCTGAAAGAGTTAAATATAGTTCCACAGATTTTACTTCAGACCTTAACATGTCTGTACACTAAACCATTACCTCCTGTTTCATAACCTTCCTGTTGGCTCACTACTGAGCAGGCACATCGAGGGAGGAGACAGTGTAGTAACCATGAGAATCCACTGCCAAGTGGGCTATGTAACGTAGCAGAGTCCTTTCTGTAAAGTAGAAGTGACACCGCTAGCCACTCATAGTTTATTATGAGAATTAAATGCGATGCCACACGTGAGGTATTTATTAACACATGGTAGTATTCTATAACTGTTTACTGTTGTTAAGTTTAATGCTCTAATGATTAATGTAAATGGGTACAAATTATTTCCCCAATACCAGGAAATCCCAGTTGTCTTTGTAGCCCAATGCTTAAAAATGCTTTCTTGCATGAGGGGACTAAACTATATAATGTTTTTTAACTTTGTACTTGTATTTCTTCATATAAAATCTGGCTATAAAATTAAGGTACACTTTCTGATGTGACACTAGGATAAGTCATTTTCATTTCTTCAGCCTGTGTTCATTGAGCAGCTACTATGGGCGTAGTATTGTTCTTTATAAGAAGCGGCAGAAAACAAAGCAAACAAAGAAAATCTCAGCCTCGTCCAGTTTACATGCTAATGGAGAAGAAATGGGCATATGGACTAAAAGTGTATCACATGTATTTGACCAGTGGATCTCGAAAGGTGATTATGAGGAGTGCACGTCTCAGGCCCCAAGCCAGTCCTCCTCAATCAGAAACTAGGGACCCAGCTTTTTGAGTTTTCAGAGACACCAATTGGTCCCTGAAGTTTGAGTGGGGTAAACCTTACCCAGGTCAAAAAGATTGAGAGTCTGGGAGGAGAGGTTACCCTGAAACTGGTTCCCAAAGATGTCCTTGGAGCACTACCGTCAGCATCAGAACCTGTTAGAAAGCTCAAGGGAGCACACTTACAGAACTCTGTATTGGATCATAATAAACATTATTGAGAAAACTAGAGCACAGAGCAGGAGATTCTTAGGTGTATGTAAACAGGTGCCTATTTAAAGAGGGTAGGTACGATAGCAAAAGGCTGTTCATAGCCATGCAGGTGCGCGGGGAAAGAGCGTTTCTGGCAGAGGGAGATAGAAATCAAGTCCGGGTGTAAGTGGGACAAAGGCAGGTGGGGGAGCTAAAGGCCTGGAATAATACAGGCTTTTTGCAAAGAGCTTGAATAAGCGAGCAACGAAAAGATGTGAGGAACAGCCTCAGGACTTTTAAAGGAATCACATTGGCTTCCTAGGCAGGAGGTCATTATGGAGGAGGAGGTTCGGACTAGCAGGCCAGTTAAGAATATTGCAGTAATTAAGATGAGATGTGAAAGTGAGGCTGCTGGTAGCCGTGCAGGGCGTGAGATGTGATAGGTTTCTGGCTTTTTCTCTTCTTTCGGTAAAGCCACATGATTTCTGTAAATAGGATATGAGGTATGGACAGAGGAATGAAGAGTGACTCCCCAGATTTTAGCCGGAAAGCCTGGAAGGAATGAGTAGTCACTAGTCCCAACTGGGAGAGTTGCCAGATTCTGCGTCTGTCCAAAGTAAGACTGATAGCAGTGTTCCTGACAAGAGGAAGAGAAAATTAGATAAAGGTCTGTCTGCGTGATTGTCAGAGATAACGCATCAAGTCCCTTCTCAATTGGAGTTAGAGGCAGGAATTGTTCCCCTGGTTAGCACATCCATATAGGTTTGAAGACGTCTAGATCACACCCTCCCCCCGAAAAAATAATCAAGTTTTCATTGCTGGCCTTGAATTAATGTCCTCAGGTGTTAATAGTACAATTTGTATCCAGCCGGTACTTAGAGAATTTGAGATTTCTGTATAAACATTAAAAGTTTATGTTACCCTTTCTAAAGAAACTTACACTGTAATAGCAGTATGAAACAAAAACTAATATGGGTTGAACATCCCTAATCTTAAAGCCCAAAACGGCCCGAAATCACAAAATTGTCAGTGAATCCAAAATGATCACAAGAATTGGGGGCATCAACGTAACACTCAAAAAGTTTGGATTTTGGAGCATTTCGGAGTTTGGATTTTCAGATTAAGACAACAATTCTTAAATCTTAAAAAATGTCTAAAATATAAAACACTTCCGGTCTCAAGCATTTTAAGATTTTTTAAATTCTCAGGTTGCCCTCAGCAGTCACAAGGGAAATAGGTTCTAATTTCCATCTCAGTACTATCAAGAGTGGATAAAACAATTAAGAAAGACTAGTACTAGACTCATGCAGTCTGTAGGACCCCGAATAAAACCATTTTTTGTTTTGTTTATACAATTAGTTTCTTCTTTTCACCTTTTGAGGTGACTTCAATGCAGGATAGCATGAATGTGATCCACTGACCCTGTTTTCATTGATTGAAGATTTTATTTCTTCCTGTGTGAAGATTGAAAATAAATAGCATATCTGCCTTTTTTTATACTGAATTTAAAGGTAAACATACAGTGTGTGATGATGATATAAATGCTACTTGAACATATATACTTAACTGATCCTTTTTCAATACTAAGATACTGTTTATAAATATTCCCTGATCCTTAAAGTAATATCCTGCCAGAACATCAGACTTGAAAAAGAAATTATTGTAGGTCAGTATAGCAAAAGCTGTCAGACTAGTTCATTCATTTTGGTACCATTTACGAGAAAGATCTCAGCACTGCAGGTAGAATAGCTAAGAGCTTGCTAAATATGTTTACATATGTGTATAAATATGTGTGTCAGAATATATATATATATATATGTATCATACACTAATCCTTTTGAAAATAACTTAAGCCATATGGAACAAAAAGCAAAGAATAATTTTCAACCCTGATCTCATCTGTTAAAATTAGTATCATATTTATATATGTATATATGTGTGTGTGTGTGTACATATTTATATTCCCACCCTTCCTGCCATACTGGATACTCCACAGAATGGCCTGCAAAGGTCAGGACATTTCTAATAACCTTTAATCTGCCAAACCGAGACCGTAGGTGCTCAAACTATTTCAGTTCTGCAAGCTTTGTTTAAGGAGTTTGGAATTGCAGACCACTATGTTCCATAACACAAGGGCACTCTGTTTCATTAGAGGTCTTTGCTGCTTCACTTTGTCTATGTAGATACACAAGTGTGCACAGCTAAACAACTGAAGGCATTGTTTGGATGCCATAAAGAAAATACATTTCTGATGAAAAAAACTTTCTGGCCCAAAATTGGAACCTGCAGCAGGACATTTCATTGGGATTTTGGTGTTTGTTTTGTATCTTGAGAATCACCTGGAATCCAATATAGTGATATGGGTAGTAAGATGAAAGGGAAGCATAACAGGGAAAATAGAGTTCTAGGAAGGCACATTCCTTTTTGCAACTGAAGCAGAATAGCCATCTAGGTCCTAACACAGATCTAACAGCAAGTATATCATTGTCGCACGGAGATCAGCAGCAATCTCACTAGGCTCTTTATATAGCCATCCAGTAGATCAGTGAGTGAACTTCAGAAAAAATTACTCCTTTTTTTCATGTTATACTAATTGGACTTCTAAAGTTCAACATATCACCCTATCATAATTCAAACAAGCTTCCCAATCAAAGTGTGTTACACATTTATAAACAATAAAAATGTATTGCTCACAGCTCTGAAGGCTGAGTGCTTTAAGATTAAGGTGTCACCAAATTCAGTGTCCTGGTAAGGCCCATTCCCTTGCTGTATCCTCAATGCGCAGACCACCTCCCTCAGTCCTCTTTTATAAGGACACTAGTCCTAATCACCTCCCAAAAGGCCTGCCTCTTAGTACGACTGCCTTGGGGGTTCATTTGCAATATATAAGTTTTGGACAGACACAGCCATTCAGACCGTGGCATTCCTGTAGTGCATGTTCTGTACGTCATAGCTGTCCTGTCTGCATATATCAATAAATACAAATATTGAGCATTTAGAAATGGAAAGATACATTCGCAGACATGAAGAGAAGCAAAGAGCAAAAAAGGTAGAGTAGATAAATTCAAGTCTAAATCCCTTCTTGTACGTTTTTTCTTCCTGAAGCTGAACACGTGGCTCTGAAACTGAACCTGAAGATCCCAACTTTGTATCAGCTCCAGTCCTAGTAATCTTCATATCCCCTGTTCTGTGTTTTACATCACTGTGTCCATTTGAGTTCATCACAGGGAATTAGGTTCACCGTTGGGTTCCCTGTGGTGAACCCAATCTTGGACTGAAGGTTCAGGGTCTGACTGGACAGGCCCGAAGGAGAGTAAGGTCGCAGAAGAAATGAGAAGCAAGTTAAGGGGTAAAATATTCTAAGACAAAAGTAAAGGCTCAGGCTGGGTGTGGTGGCTCACACCTATAATCCTCCTCAGGAGGCTGAGGCAGGAGGATTGCTGGGAGTTCAAGACCAGCCTGGGCTACAAAGTAATCTCAAGGTCAGCCTGAACTGCATAGCAAGACCCTGTCTCAAAAAGACCAAAAAAAAAAAAAACAAAAAAGGCTCAATTCAGTCTCAACAATGTCCAGAAAATGTCACCAAGTCCTGCTCTGAATCACTTGTGGTTATTGTTGCTATGGCCCTGTGTTCAGAGTGCTTGGGCTGAGTCATCAATGTGCTACAGTTCTTATGAGAAAGTTGAAAAGTTCACAGCACTCTTTCCTTAAAAACTTCCCAACCACCTCATCCCCAGCCCACCTCCATCTTTCCTGACCAGACTTGAAGATAACGCATCACTCCAAATGAAGTTTTTGACAAAAAGGGAAGTACCATCTCTTAGAAGAGGTGTGTTTGATATAGTCACAAGTTACCTTCTCATTATTTTTTAGTGTCTATGCAATTTAATTCTTGAACTATTTGGAGATGTTGAATAAACCTGGGAACCTGAAAATAAATCCTAATGAAAACTTTTTATCAGCATCAGTGAAGGTGACCTAAACTCTGAGTCATAAACTCTTAAAGATGGGTAGGGTTTAGAGATTATCTAACCCAAGCTTTCCATTTTACACAGGGTGGAACTGAGACCCAGGGGAGGTGTAGCTGCTGGCTTAGGATATCAAAGCTGCTCGAAAAGAAGAAAAGGATGACACCTCTGATTTTTAGACCAAGGATTTTTTTTGTGTATTTCATTCAGAAAACTACGTCAAAAAAGACATTTAACTAACGAAGCATATTTTAGACATTTGCCACTGTTACCAAAATATTTATGGAAGTCCATTCTTGATCTTTAATTAGTTACTTCATAATTCATAAATCTTGCCTCATTATTATCTCAAAATGTCCTCAAAACTCCACAGATGAAAAATACACATCACTTCCAGCCTCATCAGGGCAGTAAGAGGCATATACATAAAGAGACACTCATCCCCCAGAAGCGATGTATGATCAAATGCCCAATTTATGAGAAAAGAACAAAGCTTTACATACCACTTTGT